TATAGGCCTTCGGGTCAGCCGGCAGCTGCGCGTAGCTAATATGTCGAGGGATGGAGGCGGGAAGAGCTTCGGGGCGCGCGGTCTTATGGCAAAAGCACACGTGATATGTCAATACATCTCAATAACAACAGCATTCGTGGAATTTATGAGGCGATTAGAAAGTTATCGCACTCTTGTTAGGTCTGTAACAACGGTATAATAAATTTTGCTCTTTTATATGCAAGTGTGATAGTAGATATTGCAAAAATGATTTTGTGAAGAAGCACTGGCATTAGAGACAGCTCATATCTGAACAAGAAATATAACTTCGCAAACACTTGTGAATCTTACACACGTATATCTTCCTCCCTTGCACAACAAACTCAGATTGATGACAAATTTTGTGAAGGCGATGGGTAAAGTGCGCCAGGTTTCCTGTACTTAAAGAGGGGAATGTACCCAAGGACCTATGAGAGGAATGTAAAGGAGGGTAAGTTTGTAGGGTCACAAATATACGAGTTTATGAAGGGTGTCTTCAAACTTTGAATGATGTTGAAAAGGCTGCTTGTGCGTCGCTTCAAAACGACGTAACTGACTTCCTTAGTAACACAAAAGCTGAGAACTATAAATAAGTAATCTGAACTTCTTCACAAATATAATGCTCCAGGATGTAACATGTCCCTAAAAATACATTTTCTGGATACACACTTTCAATTCTTTCCTGAGAATCACGACTCTGTGAGCGACGAACACGGAGAGCGATTCCACCCAAACATGTTTTTGTTATTTTAGGTCGCATCAACAACTAGGCAATTAGCAACCATTATTGCATTTAACGGTTTGGTAATTCAGAAAATGACATGATATAGTGATAGGGGATGAAAGGACGAACACAAATACAGCTATGCCCGAAGCGGGACTCGATCCGCCATCCTTCGGTCCAAGTTCGCTGCGATTCTACTGCCTGAAGCCTGCTTTACACGGTCATTTTTGCATCCTTTTTTCAACATTTTCTGTACAGAAAGTGGACGGAAAAAGGGCGTTCGTTTCTACGCAGTATTTTTCGGCGCCGAAACTGTATGAGAGTGATTCCAGCGTTTTACACGGTCATTTCTGTCTTTGTACGTAATAATGAAGAAAATACTTCCTCCGGACGCCGCATATAGCGCTGAAATTCAAATATTTGAACATCGCGTCTGTGGTAACAAATTAAGTTAGGTTATATTAGGATCGAGCACGGATGCGACAATATTATAATACATTACATAATTTATTTCTCACTACATAATCACTTCACATTACAACTCATCAGAACGCTCTCACGCAACTACAAAATGAACATATTGCTCCACAAGCATAACAAACCAGAGAACGTCCCGTAAAGTGCCACAAGGAGCGCGGTAGTCAAACTGGATGAAATCTGTACCGAAAAATTAAGCATGCGTCATTTTTTCGTACAAATTAGATACAGTCTGGTCTGTATCTTTTCTATATCGGCGAAAAATGATGAAAAAATGATCGTGCAACAGGCTTTAACGACCATCCGGACCGGCCCACCCAGACATTGGAACAACGGAAAATCTTTATCGGGGAAATGGACTCGAAATGTGCTATCGGACTATTACTGGACACTAAAAGGGGATTTTCCTCAAGCGAAATACATTAAACAATCGTTGAAAACTACATTTTGATTGATTTTATTATACGTAAGTAAAGTACTGGATGCTCGACAGTCGATGGTATGGACTTTTTAATTGCCTATTATTACTTGAATTATAGCCTTGCTTCCCCTTCTGGCAGAATAAACAGATGAAGGCAAAAGCTCGCAGCGAGCGCTGATGACAACATTCCAAACATATCTTCACTGATGCGAAATAGAAACAATTTTCTTTTCAAAACTAGTACTTCTATCCGTTATTTTCTCCAAAAAATCTAAAGAAATTACCGAAGCAGGTGAAGATCTATCACAGGAGATACCTCGAACTCCTGAGAAAGTTAGAACGCAAATTATTGAGAAAGTTGCGAAGCCATGACTGATTCTCCAAAAATTGGCATTTCTTCATAAAATCTAGTGGCCGATTTCGTAATTAATACTCCCACTCTACCCGCATTTCTTCAATCCATCGTTCAACAAAAGTTACGCGAGTAATACGAAGAACCTTCACCGTTAATAATAAATGCTCTGCAAATTTTATATCAGAGCACCATATTCTATAAGAAATAGTCATTCAATTGTATTTAACAGACAAAAGTTTAAATTTTGTCGACCAGTGTTATTTTATCAAAAACAGGTAAAAATTTCTTTACATTTTTTCCTTAAATAGCAAAAAATGGCGCATGTCTCTTTTTGTTGAACTTTCTGAATTTTCATAAATTACACAAGTTACGAATAAAGCATGAAAGTATTGCTGTTGTTGCACCCCCTGTCGCAGTATTACAATCGTACGAAAGTACGCGCGAGAAAATAAAAGTGCACTGTCGCTGGCAATTTCTTTTTCAATATTGTTGTTTTGCTTATTTCCTTATTCCTCTTATTTCAGTCACAACATAAGAAGTAAATTTGTTTTTTAAAAATCATGGAATTGTTGCATTAAAAATTAATTAACTATCTGGTATTAAAATTAATACCCAAATAATTTTAAATGAATATACTAGAATACATTCAGTTATTTCGATTAAATTGTATGGTCATGCTATCTATGGACAATATAATAAGATTTATACAATTACTATAATCTCTTTTCATTATTTAAAATAACAATATATTAGTATTATAATTAGAGAAATGTTATTAATAATAGTATAATTAAATAATAAATATATAAATAAAAATGTATGAACCAACAATAACAAGATGAATAATAAGAATATTGTCGTTGATTACAAAAATACATGTCATAACTTTTCATTAGTAACTATTTAAAAAGCTTCCATTCCGAGGCTGATCAAAATCGTTTGTTTCGTACTTCCTCGTAGGTCCCAGAGTTATGTATTTTTATACGAAAAAGTGTCAATACATTTCGTGTATCCTTGACAGAAAAAAATCATCTCGTTAATTTGGATATGAACAGTAAAGCGTCATCTGGGTCCATAGTAATCCTTGGCAATAATAATTGGCAGGCGCCATTTCTTTTTCTCTGACAAGTAAGTATGATTCCTCCATGCCGGGCACGATAAGGTAAATAGACTGAAATTTGTTACGGTTCGTTAACATTTACACTAACAAAATTGACGTGCAAACCCAAATCTGTTGTTGGCTTCTGAGATCTGCCAATTCGCTGCCAAGAAATTATTTATACGGGCACTGATAATGCTAGACTAAAATAGACTTTTTTTATTCCTCTGACATGAACGTACAAGTATTACTTTTGAATAATAATTTTAACCGGTATGTAAAATATTACGGAGTCCACACGACTCATCCAACTCAAATAAACTATTTGACTATGATTCGTCCAAATATGAAATGAAAAATTCAAAAATACAATACAATACGTTTATTTAACTATATCATCATTCCTTTCCATAGTTTCTTTAAATAATGTAGCCCTGGATGAAGATGAAGTATATTATGAATAAAAATTATATATGTTTTAATGCAAAAATTATTTTCACAAGATCAGAATTGTGAGTACAGTATAAAACTTACGCTTCAGAAAAGCTCCTCTTATTATTGTCGTTCAAAATTGTGAACTTAAATTGAAATAACAGTAGTTTCCAAATGCAAACTTTGGAATACGATCTGCATACGATTGAATCAACCGGTTACCAGACATAACGCTTTGATTACATAACATAACGATTGATTGTTACCAACATTGCGAAGACCACGTGCGTGCTCCTGCTGTTTCTGTCACTGAAATTGGACAGGGAACTTGAAGTGTGGTACGTAAAAGATTAGGAACGTTTTCGATGGATGGGAATTTACCGATTCGTAAGGTGCCTCCGAAAGCATTATACGAACTAGTTCAGATTTTAGAATGTGAAAATGATTGGAAAAAGTTGATGTGCATCGTACCAAAGAATTTTGAGGACACATCTTTGAAATATAATATTGAACATGTTAAGTGAGTATCACGAGTTTAAAAATATGACTTTGTTTGGTTTAAATTGTAGTATATTTTCAAACGTTGTTACAGGCAAATTGAAGATGCAAGTGGCTACCAGAGGAGACCATGTGCCGAAATATTCCTTGAAGAGTGGAGTACTAGTGGCAGAAAACAACCAACGTTGCAGCTCCTCTTGCATTTGCTTAAAAACGCTGAATTGTTTAGAGCCGCTGAATATGTTGCTGTTCAATTATTGAAAGGTATTTAATATGTTTTTATATTGTTAAAAATTTTAATTGCTAGAGGCAGGTTCCTGAAACTTTGGAAACCTTCACTTTCAGAATCAGCGCCTGAGAGGCCGAAGACTGGACCTGCAGCTTACATTGATGTTTCAGAAAAAAATATTCAACATCTGATAGATGCCAGGCAGGAAGAAAAAAAAATGAAGAAAAGTGTGTTGTATCACAATGAAAATAAAATATATGAAAGTTTTACTGTAAACAGTGGTTCAAAAATGTGTGCCAATGCAAATGAGAGTATTGAAAAAACCAATGCTACAGTTATCAAGAGTGAACAATTATCACTTGCAATATCAAATGAAACTGATCATGTGGATAGTATTAGCATTTCAGATAATGCCAAACCTGATGAAGACAGTATTAATTCTAATCATTCCACGACTTATGAGTAGGTTCTTAATGTTCTGTTCTTTTATTTACTTTTTTTCTTTACATTAACTCTCTCTATTACTCTTTATACTTGCTGAAGCCTAAGGAATATTTTGTGTTTTATGAATGATTTTTTTTTTTTTGTAGGAGATTGCATAATACAAATTTGGAACATATTTCTTATGTGGAACTGGAAAGGTGTACAAATTATTTCTGTGAACTTCCAGTCATTCCTGGCAAACCTGACAGTGGAGGTAAACTGGGCACTGGAGCATTTGGTTCCGTGTATTTAGGTGTTCTATTATCATTAAAAGTGGCTGTGAAAAGATTAAAGAATGATGCTGTCAGTATTGAAAAGCAGTTCAAAAATGAAGTGGAAACTCTTTCAAAGTAGGTTATGTTCTGAGATATGTAATTATTTGTACAAAACATACGAATTTTAGTAAAAGTGAGGCCTGTGACATCCAAGTGTTATGTTGACACATGATGAGTAACCGCTGTATCTTACACAGAACGGTCAAAGTGCTTGTGTGCTGTTTCACATAAGGAATTGTTATTTTATTACTCCTGTTACTTCTCACATGTCAAAGCAATGCTTGTGCGCACAGGCCCTAATTCACTGAGGAAGATGCTAATAATACATCATTATTTGCAGGTACCAGCATGAAAATCTTCTTCCTTTGTTACGATACTCATGTGATGGTCCACATTATTGCCTGGTGTATGCTTATATGAGTAATGGGTCTTTGCAAGATCGCTTGGCATGTCAGGTCACTCAGTCATTTATTACGTTTATGAATAAACCTCAGATTCTTTTATTTGAACCCATTCTGTTGCTGGGTTCATACTCACAAAATATAAAGATTGTTTTTCATTTTATTCCGGTGGCCGAGATTGCTAAGGCAGTAGTGCTGTAGCAATCTCGTACCGAAAGATCGCGGGTTCGAGTCCCGCCTCGGGCATGGTTGCTATTGGTGTTGTCCTTTCACCCCCTATCATTCATCATCCTCCATCTCTCATTATCACCTTTCTGAATAACATTCAAAATTGTAACTCGAGGATTTATCCTCACCTCCAAGGTGACAAATCTTCGACAGTCGACATGAACAGTAAAAAGTGAAGTGGAACGACTCAAGTGGTCCAATGTGGCCAATCAAGTTAATATAAATAATATATATTATATATATATATATATAATATATATATATACTATATATACTATATTATATATATATATTATATATATATATGATTATATATATATATATATATTATTATATATATATATATATATATATATATATATATACTGTATATATATTATATATTATATACTATATTATATATATATATATATATATAGTATATATAATATATATATATAATATATATATATATATAGTTATAACTATTATATATTACTATATATATATATATATTTTTCCATTATTTCCAAAATAATGTATATAATGTTTATTTATTTCTATATTTTCTTTTTTTTCTTTTTTTTTTTTCCAGGGCTCAACGCCAATACTTCCTTGGCAAGAAAGACTCAACATAGCTCATGGAACTTCGAAAGGAATCTTGCATTTGCATACTGCTTATGAAAAACCACTTATTCATAGAGACATTAAGAGCGCTAATATTCTTCTTGATGATCATCTAGTTCCAAAAGTAAGTTACAATTTTTCTCCCCTCTGTCCTTTCTTTTCCTTTTTTAAATCTATATTGTGTTTATAAAAAACATTTTATTATGTTGCCTCTGAGATTCTGAGAATGGAAACTTGGTTTAAAAAAATTAAATGTTGTATTCAAAAAATTAGTTGCATTAATTTTAATTCAAAAGGAATTTCGAACAGTTGGGTGATTTTGGACTGGTTCGCCTTGGACCCAGTGGACAACAAAGTCAGAGTGTTGCTCAAACCACTACAGTATTTGGAACATCAGCTTACATGGCCCGTGAAGCATTTTGGGGTGACATTTCTGTAAAATTGGATTCCTTTAGTTTTGGTGTTGTAAGTATTTTATTGAAGTTAATGTGTGATATTTAGAAATATTAGTATTTTATTTGTTTCTATTTGTGGTCTTCAATTTGTGAGCAAGTTATTTACTTGCCTGCTTTATCTAAATGCTAAAAATTGTTTTATTTTCTTACAGGTTTTACTTGAACTTTTAACTAGTTTGCCATCGTACGATGAGAATAGAGAAGGTCGTGATTTGGTAAGTGATACTGTGAAATATCGTAATAACAAATGCTAATATGTGAAATAATCAGTTATACAAAAGTATTTTGAAGTCCTCACTAGTTTATCTATGGACTACATGTACAATAATTTCACTAGAACAAAGTTTGAACTTTCAGTATAATGAATTAAAATTCTGGCTTTTTGCCTGTTGTAATTTGTCCCATTTCACAATGAATATTTTTATTATTATAGTGCATATAACAATTCAAATGATTTTACTCTTAATAGTCTTTTTCCAGACATTACTGCAATTAGCAGGTCTGTGCTCATCTCAAATGAAAGAAGTTGTATTATTTGTAGAAAAGTGTTCAAAATGTACAAAAAAAACAACAAAAGTTTTTATATATCAATAATACTATATGATTTCCAATGTTATTTCACAAAAATGCAGACCTTGTGAAATAAAAAATTGTTATTAAATTCAATCTCGGTTAAAATGAAAAATTACAAAAGACCCTTTAATTACACAGTACTTAGTTATTATTTCATATTCCTCTCATTTAACATTTTATAAAATTGTAACTGTTTAGTAATTTTTTAATTTGTAAATTAATATTGAAGTAATGTAGATCTTGGAAAGAATTTTATTGATATACTGTTTCTTCAGAATAACAAAATTTCACTATACCAAGATAATTATTAAGCTCCTTAAACTTTTATTATACTGATATTTTCTTTTATTGTATTGGTTTTGCAAAATTATTTATTTAATTAATGAGTTTTGAATGTATTTGTCAAAGTTCCTTCATTGAAGTTTAAGAAAGATGAAGCTTGAAAAGTATGTGCTGCTAAATAGGTCTTTCTATCCAAATTGCAGATAACACATGTAGAAGATTCTTGTGAGAAGTCGATAAAACCTTTGCTGGACTATAGAGCTGGAAAATGGTTGATAAACGAAAATCAAGACATCTCAGATTCCGTATATACCTTGGCTCTGGAATGTTTGAAAGAGAGGAGACAAAGTAGACCAGATATGAGAAAAATAGTTGAAGAACTGGAAAATCTAATGCAGTTATTAAGCAATTCATGATATAGTTGAAATTCACTTCATATATGTAATTATATTAAGGAGTATTAAGGAAATTGAATATAGCTGCTAACTACATGAAAGTTTGCTATCAGCAGACTAGTGAAGTTATTGCAAATGTTTTTAGATACTTAATTCATTTAAGATTGACAAGTTTTTATATTTGTAATGGGGAAATTTTATTTAGTTTTTTAATACAGCCAAGGAACACATAGCATAATGGAATAGAGATATTCTCAAAGTTTTCATAACACACAAATGTGTGTGCATGAAGTAGTGCGTCTTTGAATCCAAAATGACACCCACCCATCCACCCCCTTGCAAAAAAAGAGGGAGAAAATTTGGACTACAGAGAAAATGTGTTTTTCTCATACTTGATAGATTCTCTAACCTTACAGATAAGGGCCTCCCTTGGTTAGATACAGATTCCAGTTAATCCTTCTCACTAGAATGATGTGAACTGGAACTGCCTCTGTTCTTGTGATCTTGTGACCTATAGTAGACCCCTTCTTATAGTAGATAATCTTCACTTCCATCTAATACATTAAAACAAAATTAATAAAATCTCTTCACAATTGATGCACTGGATGTGTGTGTTCAAGAAGTCTAAGATACACTCTACAGTGATATTAAAAGCTTTAACTTCATGGAAGGGGTCAAAGCTCGACTATCTTGAAACAACCAATGCTTCTACTTTATAATGACGTATTCACCCCACCTAACACTTGTCTCTTGAAATTAACACAAGATCTTTGTTCAATTTTCTGATATCCTCTTTCACTGGTGATGTGAAATGCCACCTTAATGACCCTTGAAAACCACAAGGTTCAACATACACATTTATACAAAAGAGCACGTGGGAATCTGATAGAAAATTATTGTTGATAAGTCCGGAAAACCAGTAACTGTGAGAGAAAATTGTTGTCAAGATTTTATTGGGTCCCTATTACTGAAAAACACAACGTACTTTGTAAAAAAAAAAAGAAAAAATGCCACATCATATGTCGCAAATGCAAGACTTCCTTATATTGCATATAAATATTGTTACTTTAATTACCCAATTCCGCTCTGCTTAGTGTTTCATGTTCTTTTTTTGTAAACCAAATGCATTTATTTAAGTTACTGACTGACTTTAGTTCATCTTTTTATGATTCACTTGTGGCATGTGCCAAAAGGAGGTGTCGATATTGCGATTTATGCAATACAGCCCCTGGCAGTAATCAGCAATTTCACATAATCGGAGCTTAAACATCACTATGGTGACGTTTAAGCTCTCAATTGGATGAAACTATCAACAGCTGATACCGGCCAAGGGCAGAGTTGCAAAAGTCGCAGTATAGCAAGAAAACCTTTTAAGTCATCAATGAATTGCCAGAATTGAATTATTAAAAATTGTAAATGAAATTATTTTATATTATGTTTGATTAATATTGTTATATTATGTTTGATTATTTGGAAGTTTTTTCCATGATTTCACATTATGTTTTATACAAACTGCATTCTGTGCAGTAAAAAATAAATATATATAATTTTTTTTTTTTTTTAATACAGTCCCTCTCCCTTTACTCCAACTGTCCAAAGTAAGTGGGACTGAGACTACAGATATGGGAAGAAATTGAATAATCCTGAGTTCATGTGATAAAGGATAAAATTATAATTTTTTTTTTTTTTTAATTAACTAATATGTTTACCAAAATTATAGTGTCAACTAAAACTCTCAACAGCCTACAATGTTTGTCCACCCAATGATTATTAAACTAGAAATTCAATAATCATGTAAAATCAGTGATGTTATTGCTCAGTGTGTTTGCACATTGGCATGCTATTACTGGAGTAACTGCCATATTTGCCTGAATGTATGATGTGCCTGTGTATGAGATGATCCCCTAATTTTCAAGAGGTCTCCTGACCTTTTTTCACTTTTAACTAATTCTAAACAGTTAAATATATATGATTGTCATGTTGTTATTAGTAATTTAACACAAGTAACTATTTTCATCCCTTGCTGTCAATGAACATTTCTTTAAAAATCTTTTTTATTGTGCATATAATGTTGACACATTTTGTGTGACATTTGAATGTGATGTGTGTAAATATCAAACAAAATGTCATGATAAAAATCAACATTATATTGGCAATAAAAACTTTTTTGAAAACAATGTTCTTTGATTGTCGGAAATGAAAATGGGTACTTGTGTTAAATAATTTAACTAATTCTCTTGGTATTCAGACAACATGAAATTGCAAATTATTGTGTTGTTTCTTCTGCTGACTGCCTGAGTTAGTCAGAACTTTGATAATTGTGAATCTACTATTCTTAAGTAACTTTCTTTATTAAAAGCCTGAAAATGTACTTGGATATTTAAAAGAGGAAATGTAATTATAGTTTTTTTCATGGTCTGATTACAATAAATCAGTAATGAAGTAAAATGTAGATGAGGCGGAAACCTGCCTTCGCTGGAATAAAATCTCGGACGGGACTATTTTCCGATGCAAAGTACACAGGATATTCCAGTAACCTACCTACCATGGAAAATGAAAGAAATTTATAAAAAGACTGTATTAAAAATTTTGGATAGGATGGAAAACAAACCTTGTTTTAAAATTAAACATTGACTTGTAAGTGTGGCAACATCTTACTATGAGACACTTCGTGTGTGAACGCCACTCATGGGGAAGCCACTGTTTGTTTGTAATAGCACTGACCTTCACAAGCCTATGTGCAGGAAGGGGAGATCCGAAGAGCGATCCTTCTACAGTTCTTGTAACGCTTGCTTTGGGTTTAATAGTCTAAACATTTACTGTTGTTCAGTTTGATAAGTTGTAGGGTATGTTAGAATACAAGTGTTTATGATGTAAGGCGGCAAATTGAAAATGTAATGCTTGGTGAGAAAATTTGAGTAATTGAAGAACGCAAACATAGCAACACTTATGTCTAGGTTTGCATAAAGAAATTTAAAGTTGGGGAAACTTAATGTACAACATCTAAAAAACAAAGACAAAATCAAATTTAACTGGTTAAAAGAATTTTTTTATAAGTGGTTGCCACAATATTCCTGATCTGTTCCTGATTCATCATCCATTTCTACAAATTTTGAAGAAAATAAATAATATTTCTTTTTCCTTTTTGTGGAATTATTTGTTTTATTAGACTTCATGTTGCAATTCTGTATGTCTCTCCTGGGATATCTTCAATTCTTTGAAATGTTGTTTTTAGGTGACTTAAACTACTCATATAACCTATTCCATCTTTGAACAATTGCATTTTTTGAATTGACAGTTTTTATTGCAAACCTGTATAAAACTGAAAAAAAAAAATAGACCCAAACAATTCCAGCTTAGACAGGTTTTTACTGTAATTGAAAATTAATTCTTTCATAATTGAAAATCAATATAATGTAAAATTGTTGCTAAACAATAGAATCTTGCCTTTGTATTGTTTGTTTGCAATCACATGCCTGTCATTAGGGGCAGATCTAGAAGGCAACACTTTAGGTGGGTGGAAAGGCAAGGGAGGGCACACATAGCTGCCTCGACTCAAAAGGTCTGGGTTCAAGTCCCGCCTCCGGCATGGATGTTTGTGTGTGCTCGTGTTGTCCTTATGTGTCGTGTTTCCCCAATGTAAACAATCACAATGGTCACTACATGACACAGTTGTTAAAAGTGACCTTTAAAAAAAATTAAGAAGAAGAAAACTTAGAAATAGGACTAATCGGGAAAAAATTTAGATATGACTTTACTGTCAGAAACTAAAAAGGGACAAAAGACCTAAAAAAAAAAGCTTGTAATATTTTCAAGAGAGAAAAGAAAACAATAGCTGGTGTGGCAGTAATTATGAAAAGTTCATGGAAACAACAAAATTCTGTCATACATTGCACACTTGTAAATCAGTGTGAGAAATACTTTAATACCCAAATTGGCAGAGAAGTAAACGGCGTTGAAGGATGTGAAGGAAAAGAAGCTATCAATAACAATGGGGAAAATGCTAACTGATTTCTATACATTTAATAATTTGAAAATTACAAACTCCTTCTTCCAACACAAAGATAAATATAAATTCTGTGCTAAGAAGGCAATTTATATAAGTCACTTTTTCATGACATGAGACACTTAATGACATAAGTCACTCTTCTGTGTTAATGTTTAGAAGTAGGCAAAATATGCATTTTTCTTGCTATTCATGAAAAAAACAATGATGGCAAATTGCAGCAAGACAAAAAACACAAGAGTAATTTTTCTTCTCATTTTGATGCTTAAAAGTGCTGTCATAGAAAATTTTTAAAAAGTGACTTTTAACATTTTGCCATCTTAGCACAAAATTTACGCAGGAAGAAGAGGAACAAAATCAATTATTGATGACATTGTGAGGGAAAACTTACTGAATAAAGTAAAAGACACTGAAGTTTTCAGATGAAGTGATTAATACCTCCTTGAAAGGAAAATTAAAATCAATCCCCATCATTGCGGAGAAGAAAGCCATAGTGACGCCCAAATTAAAGGTACATCTCTTAGAAGAGAAAAGTGTCAGATATTTATATGAAAAACAGCTTGAGGATAAACTACAAAAATTTAACAAACAAAACATAAAAAATATTCTGGACTACTCTAAAACAAACAATTATGGAAGCAGCTAAGGAAAGCTTAGGAGTTACAAGACCAAAAAAGAAGTGGATAAGATCGTGGAATGAAAAAATTTAAGAAATCATTCTTAACACGAAGAAGGCCTGTAAGAAATTCCTACAGTCAAAATTGCAAGAACTAAAAGTAATTTTGATAGAATTATTTAACAAAATATGGACAGAGAATCTTACCCCAACAGAATGGCAAAAAGGTTTGGTAACAAATATATACATAAGAAAGGAACAAAAATAGACTGCAACAACTACACAAGGATAATGCTACTACCAACCACCTCAGAATTATTTGCTAATAAATTAGAATAAATTAGAAATTAAATAGAATGAGTATAGAGAAAACTTCATGAGCGAAGAACAATGTGGATTCAGGAAGGACAGGAGCACAAAGGATGCTATATTCACAGTGCAATCTATATTAGACAAAAGAAATTAAAGAAACTTACCAACATATTTGATATTCATAGACTGAAAATGCTTATCACACGGTGAACAGTTGTGGAAAATATTAGAAAAACGAATACCCGCGGAAGGAATAAAACGCTATATGGAATAAAGGAAGAAAGATTTCCTAAAATCGCCATTAAAATGATCACAAAACAACTTCATACAAGGGGATGATACACGGTTGCAACCAATCACTCAACCTTTACAATATTTATGCCAATAGTCTCACAGAACAGAAGAATTCAGTTAAAAAAGGTATTTAGCTTAACAAAACAATACAAACAGTTCTATTTGCAGATTACCAATCGCTGGGCCTCTGAACGCGAGGTCCTAGGATCGAGACCCGACAGTGGACACAAGATTTTCGACACAACTTGTCAGTTAGGTCGAATTCAGTCGCTGCCTGGAGGAGAATTCTAAAGGCCCGCTGCTCTGATCCGTAGTTTTCCGTGGTTTCTCCTATCAACACCTGGCGAAAGCCGGAGCAGTACCCTAACTAACGGGCCACGGACCGCGCGCGATCTGCCCTTCCCCTTCCTCGTTCACATTTACACACACCAACATGCACTACATCACCACATATGCTGAGAGACCAGACAGGAGCTTAGAGCTTGTCCAGGCTGAGGCGGTGGGAGATACCTGGTTAAGGGAAACCCCGCTAGCCGACGGTAGGTCGTCGCCGTATCTCGCCATACAGCGGAGAAAGATAATCGCCACCTCCCCATGAAAAACATGCACTACACTTTCGGGACTAATGACCTCTGTCGTTAACGCGCCCGAAATCACTAACAATCAACCAACCGGATGACCATATCAGAAGATGAACTCCAAGTAGCAACACCAACTCCAAATAGCAAAACCTATTAGGCCTACGTGAAAATTTTGTCAAAGCAAACAAAAACACGGAAAGAAACTAAGAAGAGTGAAGATAGTCATTGAAGGAGAAATAATAGAGCATGTTTCAACATTCAAATATTTAGGCAATGACATTGGACAAACTCCGAAGACTGCAACACAAAATTTTGAAATGTAATAGAATATAAGGAATAATTAAAATACATTTTGCGAAGGACATGGCACAGGAAACCAAATTTAGAATAATACACAAAATGACAGCTAAGCCAATGCTATTATATGGATCAGAAATCTGGGTCCTATAACAAAGAGCC